CAATAACAGCTTCTATCACAGCTCAGTAGGATCAATAACAGCTTCTATCACAGCTCAGTAGGATCAATAACAGCTTCTATCACAGCTCAGTAGGACCAATAACAGCGTCAATCACAGCTCAGTAGGAACAATAACAGCTTCAATCACAGCTCAGTAGGAACAATAACAGCTTCTATCACAGCTCAGTAGGAACAATAACAGCTTCGTTCACAGCTCAGGAGGACCAATACCATCCGCACTGCTCATTGGGAATATTGGCAACCTTACTGCTTAGCAGGAACAATAACAGCATCACTACTCAGTAGGGGCAATGTCACTGCTTATGGAAGTTACGTGTGTGTTCGATTCGCCTGTTCTAAGTTTCAGGAATTTCTCTATAGGCTTTAATAAATTAAGTTGCAAGGATTTACTAACAGAGATAATTCAATTTACACTGCAATTAAATTTTGATACGGTTGCCTATAATTAGTTTTCCGCATCTGCCGAGATTCAATACATGTTCAAGTATTTAGATCGTTGACGACCGACATAATTTACTGGACAGAAGATGTCATCGGGAATTCTGCATGTGATGTACAACTATTTACCTACTCTGAATTTGAAGCGGATTGATACAATAACAGACCTTCTGTTACTCACTACATGATCGCGGCTAATGAAGGAACACCCTGCAAAATTGATTTTCTTTAGTGACCTGTTCTTCAGGATACCAAATCGACCAAAATAAACTGCACCTTTGCGGGCGTCTCATTTCGACCTCTAATGTTGCGATGTCGTTTAGACTCAAACAAACATAAAACAGTAGAGTCGATGGTGTCTTGGATTGTTTGTCACCTTTGCCCTCATGTGTTGACACAGACGTATTTTGTTCCTATTTGTTTTTGTTGACGCTGTGCTGTTGTTGATCTTGGGTAGAGGAGTCTGATATAAATTGTACATCTTTCCTTGTGGTGTGTTGACGCGGTATCGACGCAAAGGTATGTATATCTTTGTCTTGAACGTCAAATGTTGAATTGTGCGACTACCTACTGTTTTTGTTTTGATGCTGTGTTATATTTTATCTTTGTTGACGATGCTGTGTTATATTGTATCTTTGTTGACGATGCTGTGTCATATTTTATCTTTGTTGACGATGCTGTGTTATATTTTATCTTTGTTGACGATGCTGTGTCCTTGTGTTCACGTTGTGATATGGTTCTTTCTATTATTCTTTCGTTTTGTTTAATTTAAGTATAGAAGTCTGTTGAATTTTCGTATGTTCTTGTTGTTCCGAGTATCTGCTGTTGTCTTGAAATATTTATATCCATTTTCGTCCTGTTGACACCGTGATGCATATTCTCCTTGGTCTGTGAGGAGGACTTCCTTGTCCGTGTCATGAAAAGAAAGGCTACGTATCCATGATAGCTGGACACTCTACTCATTTTCTCTATATTCTATAACGTCAGCCAACAAAAACGATAGTGTGCCATGGCTTTGCAATGAAGAAATAAGCTATATATAATTATATACAAATTGTATATATGTTGTTATGAACTGTGGTGTTTCGACAAGTTATACAGTAGATGAATAAAAATACTCATAATCAAAAGTTGTAAATTTTGTCATTTATAACTCGTACATAATCATTGAAATAAATTGGATATTTATCCACTAATACAAAAAAAGTGTTCAACAATAACATGTTATACAATTATCACAGTTATGAAATAGGCAAGCGTTTTAATGTCCAAAAGTTTAAATTATCTGAGTTAGATGATTTAAGACACCATTAACTATCACAGAAGAGCATACATAAGCAATATCAGGAATATTAGAACATAATCCGAGGAATTAAAGAAGTATTTTTGTATAATTATAGTATGCAAAATTATTGATTCAAATAAGCTGGAAACATGTACACGACCAGGAATACCAGTCACGGAACTCCGATGATGATTGTCAATATTATAGCGACATTGATACATGGTATTCATATTGGGCCACTGTGCTAGTGATAAAATGCCATTTAGCAACATTGTGATATAGTTGCTGCATATTTAACTGATACACATAATAAGCTGATTATATTTAGCACCGTAACACGAACTGTTCACCAGCTGAACATTTTGTAAGACTTCCAGCATCATATATGCATAAGTTATTAGAACTCTTTTGTAGAAACAAATCGATTATCCGGAGGTATTTTTTACGAGTATACAAATTCAGTTTTGTTTGGGCCGAAATCAACATTTGATGTTAAATTATCGATTTTTGCAGCGTCCGAACCCTTCTCCTTTACCTCCAAATTACACACGTGGTAGGGATTTGTATCGCGCGATACGTCACCTTCGGCATTATTGTCATATTTGCTACAATTACCCTTATCCGGACACACTGGGCCAACAGAACTGTAATTTTTCGTTCGCTTTCTCTTTATTTTTTTGATACCGGCTTTTATTTTGATGGCGTCATACGGAGTTGCGTAGTCACGAGATGTTGTGACGGTGGGATCTCTGAGCGGGAGAGGTTCCGAATAATTATTTATCCGTATCACATCAATGTCCACGTCTATTATTTCATTGTAAATATGTTCCTCTCCCGGATCGTTACCGCTGTCATCGGTCTCTTCATAGCCTACAATGCTGTTGTTGGTATCCAGCCATTCGGAAGAAGATACGACGCTTGTTTTCGTAACTTCAGCGTTGTTGTTTTTCGGCGTTGTTCTCAAGCATCTGGAACAAAACGTTTATCGATCACGGTATTATATAATTAAATGCTTTGATAAAATCTGACAAACAAATGTTACGATCGCGTTTCCAGAGTGTTTATATTATACAATGTATATATTTACATACATAAAATGTACAATGTACATGACAATAAAGGTTAGTGCGAGTATTGTTTAAACCCACGATGTATCAAATGTTACTCCAGAACTATTGACGATATCGTACGTTCATTTGAATATATAGTACCAACAAAACAGCACAAGGTACAACAATAGCCATCATAATACCGTGAAGGATATTAAATACCACACGCACTATACCTATTTTCACAGGTTCAATACAGATCGTAGGAATATATTGTTTCAATAGGTAATCAACTATCATGTTATTATCAATGATATCAATCATCTTTTATCTATATAGTAGAGCTGATAGCAGAAGAAATGTTAACGTTCCTATTCAGAATAAGATCTGTGTATCTGTGTGTCACACGATCGACACTCATACAATGTTACTATCCCGTATACTTACTTTCTAATCATGATTCCACATCCAAACAAAAAGCTCACAAACACTGCCGATCCGACTCCAATGACGATATAAATATACATTTGTACGTCTGTAAAAAATAATAATTTTAAATTGAAATATATAAACGCCGAGTGTTTGACCTAAACTGGTCCATGCCACAGATGACAGATATTTTCAATGTGTTATTTGACCTACATGTTTAACAACCAATCCGGCTGTTTTATGTTACATTATTATTGCTGTCATAAAGATAAAGTACGGAAGACACTGTCTTCACTCTGAAAAATGCTGAAAAATTATCAGTTTATCCTTTCAGTTGAACAATCAAGAACAAAATACTTTTCTAGAAACTTTTATTCACGAATCAAGTACCCTTGAAATGTCAACTGCTTCACGAGTCCTCGCTACAATATTGGAAAACATTAACTCATTCACTCCTGAAAATTCATAATGAACTATTCCAACCTTTGAATTGGACGAGTTCAAATGCGTCTACCGGGGTGAATGAGTTAAACACCTAAGAACAAATATAAAATTAACAAATAGACCACAGAACACCAGCGCTGGCTGTGCGCATCCATCGTGAATCGCCAGTATACCTGATTGCCTTTTTAATAAATATCAAACAAAATATATGAGTCATGATTTTGCACTGCTATGCATTATAAAAACCAATCATCATAATTTCCCATGATTCGTGACTGTACGATGAAATTAAAACTTACTCATTCCTAATATTTCTTTGGGGCTCTGGACCTCTGTTGTTAGCACCGTTGTAACGTTGGTAGTAACTATGGTGATGCGAATGTCGTCCATGTGAGATGGATGGGGGCTGGTCGAGGAGGGGGTGCCTACTTGTCCGACAGTAGCTCTCACTTCTGATGTTTCACAGACGTACCTTAGTTTATCGTCACAGTCCCTCTTTTTTAGTAACCAGCTCAATACAGTCACACTTTCCATCGCCAGACACTGACCGGTGAAGTCTCCATCTTATATTAAAGACAATCAAGAGGATATTTGATAAGATTAATTAGTATACTTCTATTTCTACTGAGTTTCACCAAATTGTAATATCTTTTATCTCTTTGAAATTGTTTAAAGAATTTAATTAATAGATTTATATGTTAAATTGCCTTAATTTATTTCGTAAAAATGAAACAGTTATAGAATTGGTAATTCGGGAAAAAGGAAATTAATGGCCCGTCCTGGGGAGCATACATTTGTTATTTTCCTTATACCCATTCTATAACTGATTCATTTTAATTTTAACAAACTAAGGCAGTTTAACATATATATCTATCAAAACAAATCAGATCTAAAAACCTTTTTGTTAATTATATTAGAAAGAAATTATTCACGGTTTGTGATTGATTTTTCAAAAACAAACAACAAATAACGAGCAAGCACATTTTTAATATTTTATAAAAAAAAAACAAGAGTGCTCTTACTGATAACGCACTTTCATTTAAACACTTACGAACTAAAGTTGGGCTGTCGTTCCATATAATACTTTTGCGTCTGAACATACATATCCAATATGTTTCATTTGTAGGGATATGCAGCCTTCCTTTATTCAGTGCATCTACATCCGTGAAGAACCTATAAGGGGAGTTGTCTATATATTCTCTCATTTCCATCCACGTTGTCTTCGTATTGTTAATCTTTGTTGATTTCAAATAACCTTCTGTGGATCAAATATATTATATTAACAGTTGATGGTGAATGCGACGTCTTTTAAAACAATTGTGTTCTGAAATAATACTGAAAATATTATGTAAAATTGATGTTATAGTCAACAACATACTAAAATTATAGACAGATGGCAAAACACTGTTTACAATAACCACTGACCTGCTGCCCTCATTGCAAAGTTGTAGCTTTTATTATTTCTCTCTCGCAAAAACTTTCCCTCTAATGGTGCCATCCTTTATAAGGTGTGTCTGCTATCAGGACCGACTGATGACAGATATCACATCATATATCGAATGTGTGTCAATTTAACCAGGTGGCACTAATGAATTAAATCCATTTCTCCAACAAACCACTATAGGTTTCCTCACTCCTGTGACATTGAATAGACCTGCTACACTGTTGGCGTCGGTTAACCCACTAGAAGGTTACAACTAGGACAAGATTTCATTTGTCAATATTTAATCAATACGTTGAGTACCAATGCCTGGCGAAGGCATAGTTCATGGTAATCGTTCCCCCGATCCGGAACAGGAATACATATGGTATTTTAGATGTATTATCTGAACATTGTAGGAGGAAAAATCCCCCAAACTAATTATAGTTGAAGGTCAAGTATATTTTTTCTCTCGTCAGTTAATATTCAAATTATAAAAGACACTTGGTAAACCTCGTGTCTTTATACAATTAGAAAATCATCTAACTCGAGTAAGATAAACATGATAACCAACAATATTTTAAAGCATTACCTAGCGTCTACATTATTGCCATTAAACAATAACACGATTAAAGAACAGGAGCTGAACTGTTACCAATGTGAGCACGTGATGCTGCAAATACACATTTTTTAGTTTGGACTTACCTTCCTGGTAAATAAATGGAAACTGTAGATTGCAATCTGATGCTTGTTCTGTCCATGTTTCACCGTCATACACTATCGCAGCACAAGTGTGTGTAATCGATTCTGTATTTACAACAGAAATGTACATGTCTTTAAAAACCACAAGTGAAAATGTATAGGCTTGATAAATATTATTAATATAGAAATACTCAATGTATTATAAGTGTCATATAATCACTAATGTAATAGTGACATACCTTTTATCAGTACAATGTTTATGTTTGGATTTGTTACATATATCAGAGGGATGTGCCTTTCTCCATAAATATGTCAGTCGTTGGAAAGTTTTCCCTTATATACCTATATATATATATATATATATAATGTATATATATATATAAGGTGGGGATTTTATAAAAGATCGTTTATATTGAGACATTGATTTAAAACTACATAGTACTTTGGTACAAAAACAAGAAATCAATCCAGTCTGTATTTGTGTACAAATTGTAGTGGAAGATGATCGTGAAAGTAATAAGATATAATGATTATATTAAAAACGATAGTCCGGCGACGCATAATCCATTTTTAACACAAGTACAGCAGAGAAAATACAGCATGACAGGAACCGCTTTCAACAATCCTTTTCATAATCTAAAAGACTTACAAAACTCGACTATTCGTGTTTTACTCGGAGGTCATCTTAATTAAAGTGTCAAATCAGATTTAACTTACGCTGCTGTTCAATTTTATATCATCCGATTAAATTAATCCAAATGAAATGTTAACATTTTGTTCAAACTTAATGCATTTGGCCAACAATTAGAATAAATAGCTATGTAAATATTTATAAATATATTAATGATCATGTGGCGCTGGTAAACCTTAAGATTTTGAGTAGACAAGCAGTGAATTCAATAATATCAAATAATACTTGTTTTGAAAAATACGTGAAAATTAAATTGGTAATTAAGCTCCTTAAATGTATTGGACAAGCAATATATATTTTGTTTTCTTAATGTTTAATCTCATTTTCAAAAAATATGATCTTTTGTATATAATTACAACGAGAGTAGATCTAGAACGAGAGTTGGCGAGGAGCAGTCTTACATTTTTTTTTTGTGGCAAAATATATTTCTTAGTGATAGCGAATCATATTATTTTAAAACAGCTACAAATGTTTTTAAATAAATCAGTAAAACAGTACTGCCAGCATGAATGTGTCCGGACAGGGTTGCCTCTTTAATGACTTTTACAGGTTCCTCCCTTGCTTTAGAGTCCTAATTGTGTAGGTTGTGTAGGCCTGGAGACCTCCACACTTTTTCTACCTTGCTTTAGATTCCTACCTTGCTTTAGAGTCCTAGTTGTGTAGGTTGTGTAGGCCTGGAAACCTCCACACTTTTCCTACCTTGCTTTAGGTTCCTACCTTGCTTTAGAGTCCTAGTTGTGTAGGTGGTGTAGGCCTGGGGACCTCCACACTTTTCCTACCTTGCTTTAGGTTCCTACCTTGCTTTAGAGTCCTAGTTGTGTAGGTGGTGTAGGCCTGGGGACCTCCACACTTTTCCTGTGTGTTGCCGGGGCATGTTGTGTTACACTGATTTGATGATATAAACTGGATACCAAATCCAACAAAACACTCACAGGTTTCACCCTGTAATGTAATAAGTGTGAATCATTTCTACATTTACCATCTTTATCTTAGTAATAAATCAGGTATGTATCCCTATAAAACATTCATGTTTTTTCCTGTTATAATAAATGTGGGTTTAGCAATTACATCTTTACGTTGAATAGGTGTGGGTTTTAATAGAAAACACACATTTTAACCTGTTAAAATAGTGTGGGTATATTTATACACGTGAATCATTCACACTATTCAACCAGTAATAATTAGCATACGTTAGTTTTATATACAATATCTAGACACTAATACCCTTCACCTTGGAATAAATAACATGCAGATTTTGGTATCAACATAGAAATCATTAAAGTGTCTGGCATTGCTTTACTTTATTCTCACCAGCTAATAACTGTTTTAGGATGACAGACAATAACATCAATTTTAACTTTGGGAGATGGTGATCTTAAAAATACATTTGTTTTCACTCATAACAATTACCTTCAGTGTTATTTTCATCAAAACTGATAGTTGTTACTGTGCTTCATCTTGTAAAATATATATATAAAAAACGCAACCAGCACTCTTTTTTGTTTAAATTGTACCTAATTACGCCATACCATAATACGGTAGGGTGGTTAACAAACAGCTAGCAGTGCGTATAGTATTACAAAAATGAAACAACCTGATGAATTTTCAGTTATAAACAAAATTACGAATATTTGCAAAATACTACCAGTTTATTGAGCAACACACAAAATATCGTATACAACTATCAGTTATTTTCAGTAATACGCAAAAATACCCCCCGCAAAAATATTTCTAAAAGAATACCGAATTGTCAGCTTAACTGTAATTCAAACTCACAATCGATAAAACTCGGGCAAAATATGATCAAAGGAAAGATTTACACGAAGACGTTCCAGGTGTGCCAGAAGGGTAAGCGCTTTCTGCTTCAACAAACACCAGCAATGGAGATATATATTTACCTACACAAATAACTTAATAAAGCTTTCAAAACACAAATTAATGTGCAATTTACGCTGAAATATTAAAATCTTTCGATATATTTAAAAATATAATACAAACAGAAACCACTTTATTTCAATACTATATTTGCATTCTGACCTATTCTATTGGTATAAACATACGTTTAGATTTAAGACTGATATTAAATACTATCGACCATTTTGGCTGGTTCATTTCTTAATTAGATTGTCACAAAAATATTTTCATTGTATCGATTTTACGTTGAAATATATCGAATATGTCGATAGCAAAAATTGAAAGCTTGCAATTAAAAGTACTTATTACTGTAAATCGCCTGCGTGACGAGTAATTTTCGCAGTAAAGGGAAATCGCAAATCAAAGATTTCTGCTAAAATTGTACCTGTTTTTATTGATAAACTTACATTTAAACGAAGGAATAGTCCTTTAGAACATGCCATGGCACACACCGATGCTTGGTTGTTCCGGAAGGTATGCTTTTCTTTAGGTTTGTTGTTGTTGCTTATGTTTATATCAGCCCTATGACAACCTGCAAATATATCTATATATGTAAAAACAGCCATATCTGTTAACACAACCATATATTACCGTATATGTTAGCACAATCATACATGTTGAGACAATCATAAACGATAATACATAGATAAACCATAGATATTAGCACAGCCGTATATGTCAACACAATCATATATCTTAATACAACCGTAGATATTAGCACATCCGTATATGTCAACACAATCATATATCTTAATACAACCATAGCTATTAGCACAGCCGTATATGTCAACACAATCATATACCTTAATACAACCATAGCTATATTAGCACAGCCGTATATGTCAACACAATCATATATCTTATATAACCATAGATATTAGCACAGCCGTATATGTCGACACAATCATATATCTTAATACAACCATAGATATTAACACAAAAATGTATGAAAAAACAATTTTATACGTTCACACAATCATATATATATTGTTTACATCATCATACATGGTAAGACAGCAATATCTGTTAACACAACCATATGTGATTAAATGACGACTTAATGCGAGATAATTGCTAGGTTTGAGTTTCAATCTCAATAGATACGTGTTCCCCGTTATTAGATTACACTACAAACCAGACAATTTACTAGATAAAGGTAAATAACATAGAGCATCATATCTTGACCCTAGTTGCTAGTTGCAACTTTGATTGGTAATTGTACCGGAACCCAAACTCGTAATATATTTGAATACAGATTATACTCGTGAATTGATGCTATCATAGAAACATCATTAGTGATTTTCAGTGTAAACGCATTGCACTACATACCCTCGGCTCTTATCCATGGTGTGTATACCTCGTGTCCTCCTGTCCACAGAACGTGTTGCATTTTCAGTTCCGCGGGCTTGTGGCGTTCGCCATTAAGGTTCTGAACCACTGTACGAACAGTTTTATTCTTACCGACAAACTCGACCAACTGCTCCCCCTTACATTGTCGACGAGCAGCATACCAGTCCTTCCATTCAGTTGATGCGATGTTAGCTAATAAAAAGGCAAATAAATAATTGTTTGTATATGTCTTCAATTTATTATCATGCATACTAATATATTTTAACTTTAATACTATCATTTCTAATGTGCGTTCATGTTACGTTTGAGTGATTGAGAAGTTCAGACAGGAAAAAGAAACTCAGTCGTGTTATTGCAGTGATATTTTTTCCATTTAACTGAGTGTAATATGATTATCACAGTTTATTACGAGCCTAAGCACTTTGTAAATTGTTTTTAAATGCGGCAAATAACTTTCATTTAATAGTCTAGAATATATATAGAGACAAATCACATGATAATTAATATACATTTACATTATAATGAGTTGTAGGCACTTTCCCTTTCTTATATGCTCGTTATACATATATATAAGGATGGTACCTACTGTTACGTCAGTTGTTTGTGTGAGAAACTAAATATTTCTCCGTGCTGTTTATTCGAACAATAACTTCCTGTTGTTGGTTATCAACAGCCGGGGGCATGAAACAATCATTCTAATTATCACAAATAATACTAGTTCGATATATAAATAACAAACGTTCTAAAACAGTCTTTCTAATAATTTCAATGATGTTTCAAAAGACTACTAAATACTCTTATCTGTTAAATGTATTATAATAAAGTAGAATATTTACACGAATGGAAATTGAAAGGATAAATTTCATAATGAGCAATATCGTATCTGACCAAAGGAGAGTACAATGAAAGTCCAGACAACGTCGAAAAGTGTCAAAATATGATTCTTATCATCAGCGAATATTATCACCCAGGTGGCAACTTTAACAGAACCTTTTTACAGTCGGTCCTGAAACGTAGCGACACTAATGTTGAAAGGAAAGACTGCAATACTTTTAGTAATTTCTTCTTTGTGTCACAACATTAGTGTGAACAGTACTAAGTATACCTACAGGACAGGTAGAGAGGGAAATTTGTCCTTAGGACCAATGAAGAATCATTATGCAGTCTTTTTATCGGATTTATGATTGCTATCAGAAAATACATCCACGTCATTGCAAGTCCCACACTAACGTTGTGGCATGACGCCATATATCAATGATAGGAATTTTCACACCACACAAGATTCGGATCACACGACCAACAACCTGACTCGCGACTGCCGATCATAAACTTGAACAGGGAGTCATTGTCTCAAAGGTCGATGCTTACGTGACGGTAGTGTATGGTATTCTATGGCGTGTAGGAGTGGTTTAATGTGGGTGTTTCAGAAGTCAGCTTCTAAGCTAGCAAAGTGAAAGGATCTATTCAATGACCTTCACAGAAGAATTTCATCTGAATACCTTTCATAGCAATATTTAAAAAAATATGAACGGAAACGCTGAGTGATGTACCGTTTAAAAAGTCCAACAGCATGTTTTGATTCATCGATAGAACAGTGAAACCGATTGACCAACGTTTGCACAACAACTTCCGCCACCATAAAATTAAGCCGAAGTACACTTGGAGAGAGTGTTACAATGTCAGTCATTATGTGTTTAATTAGATATATTTATACACACGTGATTCTTTGGTTTTCTGCGGAGTTAAAGTAGTTCATGAAAATATAACTGTCATGACCCTGTACTAGCTTCCGTTAGACAACCTTACAATCAAATGCGTAGTACATTGAACTACTTTACAACACTTATAGAACTGTGTATGTCACTGTGTAAATAGTACCGAGTGTCGTTATGTCCATAGTGAAACCGTTCAGTCTGCGTGTCTTGGTACGTAATGTGGATTTACAAATGGCACAACCTTTTCTCTTTATCTCCTTCACAAGTAACCACACAATCAGATACTTGTGTTTACCATTGATTGTTTTGACTTAACACTGAATATGTTATTTCAGTGTATTATAAACTGTGGAAATATGTATATATATAATGTACTCTATTAAAACATTGTTATTTAACCCTAACTGATTAACTGAATGTTTTTTTTTTCTGTTGCTGTTTAAAATATTAAATTAAAAAAGTCGTGGATGGAGAATGTCACTTGAAACATGTAATTATTAGAGATTCCTATGACGTGAGAATATTTATAACTTAACTTGATACATTTTTTTTATATTTATATTCATATTTTTATATTTTCATCGCTGTGATATTGCTTTACTTAATTTGACACTTTTTTAAGGTTTCCACTACTGTACATTAACCTCTCAACCCGTGAGGAAAAAACGTATCGGTGCTTAGTTATTATACTGTTAAACAGAACTGTTATCTTATGAAATATTTGTGTATATTAACAGTTTGGAATTCTGTTAATTCTCCCCAGCTCGTGTTGTTGAATGTATACACTTTTAATCAGCATCATTTGTGTATATCTTGTTTAGATCAAAGATGCAGGGACGAGTCATACCGAGAAGCACACGGGAAGGCTGTTCACTACATGAGCCTTAATCTACAATAATTGTTCCTTATGTTTATTATATTCAGGGGTTATCATAATATTGTGCAGCTATTTCATTTCGACATCCTACTTATACCAAACCGGGTTGTTCCCATATGATTTTGGCAACTTAAAGCCATACAAATAAATAAAAATAACGAATGTTAGCAAACCGTAATGGTACCATTTGTCCTCTTACGTCAAACACACACATAGATATATACACACTGACATTGTAATACATGTGTTATACAAATTATATAATTATATAATACAGTGTATATAACTCATTGTAAAACATGTGTTATACACATTATATAACTATATATTACAGTGTATGTAACTCATTAAATACATGTGTTATACACATTATATAACTATATAATACAGTGTATATAACTCATTGTAGTAGATGTGTTATACTCATTTTATAACTATATGATACAGTGTATGCAACTCATTTAATATATGTGTTATACACATTATATATATAATACAGTGTATATAACTTTGGTTACAATTGTTGTAGCAAATATATACATAGCTACTCTCCGCTCAGTTACAAATATGAAAGAAATTCATACAATTGTATGATATTCTTCTATGATAGTTGTTAAAGTAATAACTAGTTTATTTCCTTCCTGTTAAAATTATTATAATAATACACCTAAATATCGTAAAACTTTCTCCTGTTACCATTATTTTAGTTATCTGTAGAAGCCCTCTGTTAACTTATAATTAGTAAATCAACATATATAAATAGATACATTCGGACCTGTTATAACTATTATAGTGATGCGTATAACTTGTTACACTTGGTCCTGTTATACATGTTACTGTTTTATTTGTATACCTAAGTAAGTATTTCTCTATTTAAAATATTGTTTTAGTATAAATATATAACTATAGTTACATACTTCCTGCTATAATTATTATCACTAGGCTCTCTCTATTTCTCATGTTTGTTAGATTTCTGAATGGGATTCTACAAACAGTTTTGCCGATTTGTTCTATATCACCGCTGACGTGTATTTATATAGAACCGTGCTTATTTATATTGATGACGTGCGGACCAGACGTAACAAGCAGGAACAACTCGAACTATGTTATACACATTTCCGAATAGACAACACGTGTTTCAATAATTTTACCATGGGTTTTGCGAGCAAGGTTTTATAATATCATTGCTAGAATATGCATTCTAAAACACCCTTCTTGTTATCTAATTTACAAATTAAGGAATGTACGTAAAGATTATTGTGCATTACCTAGCAATAAACTGTTGGTAGTTGGATTGTAGAAGCAGGTTTGCCAATCAGCAAGGAATGCACCGCCTGACCTGACATTTCCGGTCCCTTCTCTACAGCACAAGCAACGTGGGTAAATCACGGTCTTAATTTGTCACATTTAATGCACTTTTTCATTCTCCTCTGGGCACTAAGTAGACGAGATTAATATTTTACACATGTACACAAGTACAATAAGTACAAAAGACTCCTGTTTTAACGGTGTCTGGAAACGGCAAGTACATTTTACGTGCATGATATACAATAAGAAGATTGCACACGCGTTAGGAAAACTAGAAGAGTACACGCGAGACTCATATTTTAAAAGATTGTACCAGTACATGTATGAGGAACAATCAGTAAATAAAATTCATATTTTATTTTTGTCCGTGTGAGTAACGTTATTAAGATTACACATGTGTAGAGTAAGATAACTCGATAGATACTTGTGTAAAGTACAAGTAGATGACACACATATTGTGCACTTGTTTAAAGACAAAAACTAGATATATTCTTGTAATAAGGTACATGGGACATCTAGTTAATACTATTTGAAGACGATACCTAGATGCATACTTGTATGAAGTACAGGTATATAACACACAGATTGTATACTTGCTTGAGAGTGCAATAAATAGATAGTATATTGACATTAAAAGCGTCTGAATGATGGTCCTTCATTTTGGGTGGGTATCATTTCGTCCTTCATGCCTTAGTTAAAGCAAAACTATACCAGCGTTTATATGAAGGTTGTACCTTACTTAATATATAATACTAATGCGTTTAGTTCGCGCTATCTCCCTTTAAAACATTAAGAAAACACAAAAGAGTCACTATTAGTCACTGTAGTTTTGTCTATGTACAATTTATTTTGCACTTCTATCACAGAAAGTTAGGATACTTCCACAATTCATATTTATCATTTATCAATATTACACTCAAATACCTTAACATTAATATGACACACACCTTTTTATATCAATTGTATACACTCCTGTAATATCAATATCCCCCACACCTGTTTATATCAATTTTATTCACGCCTGTTGATATCAATATCACGCAAACCTGTGAATATTAATATTACACACGCTTGTGTATACGTATGTTACACACACCTGTTAATGTCAATATTACACACACCTGTTAATGTCAATAGTACACACACCTGTTAATGTCAATATTACACACACCNTATTACACACACCTGTTAATGTCAATATTACACACACCTGTTAATGTCAATATTACACACACCTGTTAAATCAATATAACACGCACTCGCTATATCAATATAACAAACACATGTTACGAATGGTATTACACACACCTGTTAATGTCAATATTACACACACCTGTTAATATCAATATTACACACACCTGTTAATGTCAATATTACACACACCTGTTTATATTAATATAACACACACCTGTTTATATCAATATTACACACACTAGTGTATATCAATATTACACACTCTAGTTTATATAAATATTACACACACTAGTGTATATCAATATTACACCCTCTAGTTTATATCAATATTACACACACCTGTTTATATCAGTAGTATGCACACCTTGCCCATTTCTGTACGCCGTTTCAAACCCTACCTTGTAATACCATTCATATGTCTGCTTCATTCTTAAATTATTTTTAGAATCTCCCGTTACACGTGTTATTTTACCTATTACAAGCTAGCTTTTACATATATATAAAACCTGTTGCCCTGCAACTTACCAAACTATTTCGTTCTGGGTTGAGTGAGATAGCAGTAAGCAGCAAAATACGTGTTTAAATGTAGTCCATATTTCCATAAGGAACTGAAATATTTTGTGTGTATATATAGAGAGAGTCGAGTGTAGCACCGGTACTATTTAATACTTTGCTACCAGTGAGAATAATTCTAAAAATAAAGTTCTGTATTGCAACTGTTTGGCATCTTCGAGTCTACGCTGAATCTGTTCTCGCTATTTCATACATTTCACATACGCTCACTCACATGTTTCAGCTTTTGCATGTTTTGAAGACCTGTTTATGAAAAAACCAAAGATCGCTGGCTTCTCCACCTGTTAATTTGAACTTTAGTTGTTGTATTGCACGGCTGTATTGTGCGTCTTAAGTATATCTCATTATCACCAATTTGCCACAATGTTAAATAAATGATTACTGACCTCTGGACTGGTTTTCTATTATTAGGCGATATAAAGGTGCAGGCTGATAGGATACAGCTGTGTAAAGATGACTAGGCAGTGTATGCTGCACACTGCCACTATAGTATATTACTTGTCTGTACGCTGGACAACTTAGTAGTATAATGTTAAATACATTTTGTGGTGATAACAAAACTTGATAACATAATTGAACAAACTATCTTACCGGCCTTGGCGTTCGTACAGCATATTAAAATCCAAATGGCGAGAAGCACACTAGACGATGATGAATCCTCCATGTTTTGGTGAGTAGATCCCTCAATAGATGCTGCCGCTGTTTTGCCTCAATCAATACTATACTCGTGCTACACGGTGTGCGCCTGCCCGTAGGTTCCCCTGCACACACGTTGAAAGTGTATTACGTACAAGTGTTTCCCACTACCGCCAACACCACCACCATGAATTGTTTATTATAGCAGAATTTCAAGTGCAAAAGGAAGAAGTGAAATACTTAATGTGAAGTTAGAGAGTGGGGCACAGATGGAATAGTTGTGCTGTGACGCATTTTATATAGATACACATACCAGCTGCACATTGGGCCCTCGTGGAAGTAAATGAGGGTCTCGGTGACAAGTCAATCGCGCTGGTGTCCTCCAATTCATCAAATACTTACCCAGTTTTTATATGTGTATAAAACATTTATTATAGCTTTGTATAAACGAAACCACTTACTCTTTCATATTGATAAACGTCCCATTTGAGATTATAGGTTTTTTTTGCATTTTGTTATTTTTCATCATTTAAACTGCTAATACAATATGTAGCTAAATTTATCTTCTGAAAATTATATCAGCTTCCAAAACCAGTTTCTTTTCTTTAGTGTATACATATTTTAAACTACATATGAATATCCTGTTGTCATACGAAGAAGTTTAATATTAGTCTACTTGAGGAAATAGGATCAAATCACAGTTTAAATTCTACAAACAGGTACATATTTACGTTATGATTACACGATGTGCTTGCTTATTTTAAACAGGTTGTTGTATTTGAAATATTCACCTGTATCTTGACACCAATACCTTCTTTAATTGTATCTTAAACTTAGTCAGCTGTAAAGCTACTGATGTTATTCATTGCCAGATCAATGGCTTTTAAAGTTCCATTCGGACAAATGCAAAAAGTTTTGCAATTAGGAAAAAAGGCAAATAACAGGGCTCTACATTTATATAAAGACACATTAAACGGAATAAAAATAATAATAATATTTCGAGGTTCTTATATACCGCTTTATCACAACCTAGTTCGTAGATCGTCTCAAAGCGGTTCACAAATCATTATTCGTGGTTATAGGGCCTTTAAAAAACCAGCCAATATATTTCTCATCGCCCTGGGGAGCATACAGCCGGAGCTGCCATTTCGGCGCTAACAGCTAGCATTCAACAATTCTAGCGCTGCCCAACCACGTACTCATCTACAGCTGAGTAGACTGGAACAAGCGGAGTAAAGTATCTTGCTGAAAGATACAATACAGTGCCGTGACTCGAACCCGCAACCCTTCGGTCACGAGCCCGGCGTCCTACCACTAGACTATCGTCCCTCCTCGGGAAGAGTCGAGATCACACTAGAGAACATAACAAAAGGATAGGATCCTGGAATTATTACTGACAACAAACTTAATTTCAACGAACATATTCATGATGCGGTCAACAAAGCAAATAGAATAATGGGAACCATCCGAAGAACTTATACATACTTAGATAATACAACATTCTGTCTTTCATATAAAGCACTTGTAAGGCCACATCTGGAATATGGGGCCTGCGTATGGAATCCATATTTACAAACATATATAAATGAAATAGAAAATATACAGAGAAGAGCAACGAAACAAATACCGGGGATGAAAGATCTAAGCTATGAAAACAGACTGAGGATTCTGAAATTACCTACACTGAAACGTAGAAGGTTGAGAGGAGACATGATCCAAGTATATAACTTAACACATGGAGGATATGATCGAGTTGTCACAGAAGGTTTTTTAATTCCAAATAATAACAAAAGAACAAGAGGACACAGTCTGACACTAATAAAACGAAGGAGTATACTAAACTTGAGGAAACACATTGGAACTCCCTTCCAGATGCCGTGGTTACGTCACAAACAGTCAAAACATTTTAATCCCGATTGGATAAATACTGGGGGCAACCTGATTGCCTTTTTAACCACGAGATAGATAATAATGAACTTGTTCATATTCGGGACGTCATCATATAAACTGATGTTAAACATTGTGATCTGGATATATAGGCATGCCTGCGTCCAGCATTAATATTATTATTATATCTTCTATGATTTACATGTGAGATTCGCTAACCCGTTATGAACAACAATTTTCCTAAACTAAAATATCAGAGGCTTCTTATGGTATTTTTTTTTATCATTAATAGGTAGTTTTTCCGTTCTCAGACGGTCCTGTATAACCGAATTTCACTTTTATTTAGTATCATAAAGATTTTGCCTGTATTTTTCATAATATTTAATAATTTTACTAAAAGCAAAGAAAGTAACGTTTGTGTAATTTTCAAGACAAAATCTACATTCTGTTTTTGGTGTTGTAATCGCTGTATAAAATGGGAACCTTCAAAAGCATGTAGGCTGCCAGTTGCTGATGCCGGATGATAAAACAGCGTGAAACGGGGCCACCTGTTGGTAGGCAGCGGACCTGGGAGCATCAACACAGGGGAGGGGCCGCAGCCTCAGTACCGTTTTTCTGGATTCCAAATTGCATATCATTATCAACAATGTACCACAGGCTTTCACCATTCATAAAGAGGTTTTTCAAACACGTTGTTATTTTGATTCATATTTTTTCACACTTGCTGTCAGTATGTTTACATCGAAATTAACAGGTTTGAATACGAGTAACACCTTTATATAGGTCATCACACATCTAAACAAATCACTAGCTTCATTTTTCCATAACAATGCATTTGGCAACAAGTAAAGACAACCTTTCAATAATATAACGGACAGCATAGCAATGGTTAAACGTAGATATTTTTATTATAGCAATTAAACATACGACACACACTGTATTTAATGACGGCAGATTAAATAAAAGACTTCAAACAATATTGCATATTTTTTTATATGAATAACTGTAAATATGACAGGCCACATCATAATTATAGGATAGAAAGGTGAGGAAATATACTAAGATTACAGTACACAGGGACTATAATTACAGTAGATCAAACGGGACATAGCCTATTACGTCTTTGCGTATTGCAGAGTTATCTTCTCTTGTGAGCAGGTATTGATTGTTACGTCATTGGTTTGTGTGAGAAAATTACGTCGTTTTCTCAAAAATTGATGATGTTACTCTCACAAACAAATGACGTAACAATCAATCCCTGCTCATAGGAGGAGATAACTCTGCAATACGCAAAGACGGAATACCAAGGTCAAGTTATTTATGATCGTGAAGTCTTTCCTCTCATTGCATTCAAAAGTCAATTATTTACAGTGTTTACAATATTTACATACAAAACAATACAATACAATACAAACACTACAAACAGCAGTGTGTAACCAACAAAGTTTCTTCTTACATTTATCACTTTGATATATTTAGCCGAATTCTTTTGTGTTATTTACATTAACTAATTCTATCATTTTAAACATGCATGTCCTTTTTATATATCAGAATGACGTGGACATTTCAACATAAAATGAAGCTCATCTTCTACATCATTTATATTACATACAGTACATACTCTATGATTACGTTCAATATTTTGATACGTATCTTTTTCTATATTTGAATTATAAGCAGATAAATTATTTTTTGTTATTTCCTTCAAATATTCTCTTGTTAATGTTTTTTCTCAATTAAAATTGTTAATCAACCTAGGCAAATTCTATATAAATCGTTTTTCATCTTCAACACGCATTTATCTTTATTCTCCAACATATCTTTATAGCATGCTTGTAAAGTACAGATATAAGTCCTCTTTATTTTATCCAATATTAACAATTTTTAATCCTTCAACCAATGACAATGGATATGTCACAAGTTCTAAGTAAACCTAACATTACAAGTAGCCTTTTCGTACATCCAACAATCGTTTACAAAACATAGTATGGAGTTTTCCCAATAGGTAGGGCGTAAGAACTGTACCTGCTACCCCCATTGCACGATCGACTAAATTTGGGATCTTATCATTTCTCTTCTTTCTAAACAACTTTCTTCTTCCTAATGTCTCCCTTGACAATGCCTCACTTTTGGCCGTAAGTTGAGCGTTTCGCCCCTGTAAGGAAGGCTTTGGGTTATGTCCCCTGGCCGAGACATACCAGAGTCTGTAAAAATGGTAGTTTCTACTCCTGCTAAAGGCTCACCAGTTTAGGAGTGGGACGACTGGTTCGCCAGTTATCAGTATAATGTAACCGGGTTGCATCGGATGTCCTTCTGGGTGTCTTCGGCAGTATGTTTCATTGAGGTAGCACTATAAAGTCGGCATCAGTTCCGCGCTATCAGAAGGAGACAAACACGAACCTATCGCAGCCTCCCGTAAAACGTAAAAACCAAAACAAACCAAACAAATCAATATCTGCGGCTTTATGGAAGCGCCATATTTAAAAACCGTAGCTTAGAATGCAATAATATATGTATCAAGGCTGATAATTGAATCTCAATGTTAAAATAATTGTTTCTTTCCATGCATTTTATATTATCTGCAAAATATTATTCATCATTAATTACCCGAATTGATATTTGCTTCCGAATAGTTTAAACTGAACAGCAATGACAAAAAAACCCGACATGTTACCACAGTGTTGAAATTGTCCTAAAATGTTGGGAACCCATTGTTAATCGAGTCTGTCGATTCGATCAGTGGGTAACAACCGAGGAGTTTCGGCCGGAGTTCTGAATACAAGGGCAATACAACATCTGTGTTATGACAGTGTGGAATACAGGACATTGGATTTAATTATATGGTATGATAATTTGATATATATCTTTATTGTACGATTAACCAGGTATGCAATACAAATGTTATGTTTGACCAGGACTTCTTATATAATACATGTATGTCAATTATCGGTCGATGCATTAGTCTGAACATTTTCCAAAATGTCGGAATCAGTTACAATTCTATAAAAGTTATTATGTTTGACAAGGCAGGGACAAGGTGTCGATATAATCTCCTCTTTGTGAGATCTCTTATTTTAAGGATTATTGGATTATCACCTATTGGGGTAAGTCTCCTTAAACAGTATAATTGCATGGGTGATCCAGCAGCAAATAAAATACATCAATAACAATTGTAACAGGAAAGAGAATAGTGTGCTTCCACCGGGGATCGAACCCTTGATCTCCAGGTTCATAGTCGGACGCTCTACCACTGAGCTAAAGGGACATTCGCTCGAAGCTAGAAGGCGGCATTAATCATGTACAATTGAACCCTGCCACACTATTCCCCCCTTTTTAAATGTGTTCGCCCTCGA